AATTTTCCACTACATTCTACAGTCTAAGAACACCGAATTAAAGAAAAAAAAAACTAGATCTCTGAAACAAAAAGCAGAAATAACTTGCAATCGAATGGTACAGATCTGTCTGGGTTTTACCTGGAATCGACACCGTGGTTCTAATGCTGATAGATCATGAACCATCTGGAGAATCAGTGGGCGGCGCGTGCCCATTTCTACTTCGCGGACATTGAATCGGAACCCTAGAAGTGCTTCGAGGAGTGAGCTTTTTCCGTCTGATTGACCACCAATGGCTACAATCTCTGGTATCGGAAGTTTCTCTCCGAAAGCAACGGCTGCTGCCTGGAGACGATTGTAGGCCTCAAATCGTGACCTAGACTCCGAATTGACCGGATCCTGGGAGTGAGATTGCATCTTCGATTGGCTCTGTTGGTTTCTCCTGGAAGATGGGGTTTTAGTTGGCGTGGTTAGGTATGTGTTTGAATTCGCCATTGACGAAGGAAGAGAAGCAACGGTAAAAATCGCAGAGTGGAGAGATACTACACGGAGCGTAGGAGAAATTTCGAAATTTGAAATTTGAACTGATGGGTCTAACTTGAACTCTATTAGGCCTACGTTGAAACCCTATGGGGTCTCAATTTGAACTAATGGGCCCTAACTTCAAATTTGAACTAATGGGCCCTAAGTTGAACTTTGAACTGTGCCTAAAAGTGATTAAATTCAAACCAAATTTGGTTTTCAAAGAAAAACATAGATGTATCATGTCCCGAATGTTACGTTCTATTTTTGTTCCATTTAAATAATTATTCGTCTGGGAATTATAATTTTTTCATACCGTATGAAAAAAAAAATAATAATAATGAAAGAGGTTATTCTAATAATTTGTTTGAGAAAAATGTAATAACTATCTATATTTTCCCAAAACTCTTGAAAATACCTAAAATATTAGTCTCGAAGTTGCTTTTTAATTTTTATCCAAATTTTTTTGAGTTTGAATAATTTTAGCTACCTGATTTTTGATTGTAATACTTAAAGTCATCAAACGTGGAGTCGCGCATCTATGAAATTCTTTTTTTTCTTTTTCTGTGAGATTCCTTCTCTGGCTTCGACTAATAACTCAAATCTTCGATTACTAAACCAAAAAGATTAGTGTACAAATATTATTTCACATATAGTTTGTAGCGTTTTTAATAATTTTCTTTGTGTGTTAATCAATAACAAAATGGGTTTCATACTTCATAGCTTATATAGCCTTTGCATGTCATGTAACGGCATAGAGATAGGACTTAGGAGGCAATGACCAGAATATATAATTAATGAACAATACATGATCATTTACATATTTCAGTTTAAGCTGTATGTATGCGAATTATTATTTGATTCCTCCTACGTACTTTTGTTTTGGTCAACGAGTGAACACAATAGGGTTAATGGTCAACGGCCCAAGGTTATGGACCAGACCATAATGGTCCGACTCCGAGTAAAGTAATCAACTTAGACGGTGACGATAATTCGTTCATGACACGTGTAAAGATCGCACGTTACGGTCGCCAGGTTCCGTTGCGCAGTAAGCGTATCCGGTATGTGACTCTTACCGGCTTTAGTGGCTAAAAAGAAGGATCTAGCTAGTTGTGTTGTTCCACCGTCACCACACGTGCGACGTTTGAATAATTTAAACTTTGGTCTAAGAGACACAACTCATGTACATGCACATTGCACTTTAATGATTTCAAAGAGCACTTGTGCTGTTTTTTTCAATCAACATGTGTGTTGTTTTCTTCCTCTCATGATTTTTAATCTTAATTATTAGGTTGGCTCCTTTTTTATATTTGTGTTCTTACACGGAGTCACGAATCTTATTTACACTCGAGATCAAACAGATTTCATATTTACGTATAATATACAATAAAAGGTATTATTATAATGCACAACAGAACAAAGGTAACCTTTTGATCAATATGGCATTTATTGAATGACAAAAAAAAAACTCTCACCGTAAGGAGAGTTATACATAGATGATAGATCGTGTGTATGTACTGGAAACACAAAAGAATTTGATTGGTTATTTTGTCTCTTGACGGTTTATGTTTTTGATTTCTGAAAAGTATCAATCCGCAAAGTGATAAAAGGAAACGAATCGCTAAAGTGGCAGAAAGTAAAAATTTAAGATTACAAGTTTTAAAATGGTGGTGGCGCAGTAATAAAAGAGTTAGAGATATGGCAACAATTCGCTTTCTTTCGATTCAATTTCTTTCTAGAATTTTCATAATTGTTTTATCAGTCTAAAATGATGTTATATTTTAAATTTATTAAAAAATGCAATGAATTGATTAGTCGACGACTATATTTACTTTGAAGAATTAGTCGTCGTCCCTCTACTAGAATTATTCTTTTCAGTAAAATAAATGGAAAATAGTTGACAAGTAAAATTATAGCGGTACAGTAAATGATAGATGTTCGAATTCGAACAAATAGTCTACGACTATATTCGTTGAACAAATTGATGCAGCGAGATATTTAAATATCTTTATTATTTATTTATATATTTAGATAGTTATTATTTATTTGTATTTTAATATTTTAATAATTATTTTTTAGGGTTTCTATAATATTTTAGGATTTTGGGATTTATTATAAATAGGTTGTTTAAATTCAGTTTTTGATTTGATTAATTAAAAGAATTTTCCTAAAGAGGTTTTGATAAATCACTGTGAAGAGTATTCACAAACCCTAGTTTTCGGGTATTCTTAGAATCAACGGATCTATTTATATCTATAGAAACTTCCGCTCCATCATTTGGTATCAAAGATCGATTCTGGTTGTTATGGTAAGTCAAAGCATCTATCCTATCCAGGACGAAAGTCTTTTTGTTGAAAGAGAAAAAAACCATGAGATCTATAGAGAGATTTATGTTGATCCCATCTTCGACATATATGATGAATATGTCATGGTTGTAGACTTCGTCTTCCAAGAAGGTGATTTCAAGAATCTGACAGGTGCAAAATCCGTTCGTGGAAAAATTGGGCGACATCACATTCATGTGAAAACCGAGCAAGATCAGATCTGTGCAGAGTTCGAGGTTTATGCAGAAGTCGTGCAAAAGTCGGATCGTGCAAAATCCGGGCGGTTGCAGATCTGCGAAAAATTACAAGTTGGTGCAGATCCGGTTTGTGCAAAAACCGTGCAAAATTCGGTTTGTGCAAAAACAAAACATCCTCAACAAGAAGACACAAAATCGATGTGGAAGAACCGGTTGAAGATTCGAGGACGAATCTTTCTTGGCTGGCGAGACCTGATGCAGCGACGAGATATTTGGAATATTTCCAAATATTCTTTATTATTTATTTGTATATTTAAATAATTATTATTTATTTGTATTTTAATATTTTAATAATTATCTTTTAGGGTTTCTATAATATTCTAGGATTTTGGGATTTATTATAAATAGATTGTTTAGGCCTTCTATTGTATTCAGTTTTTGATTTGATTAATTAAAAGAGTTTTCCTAAAGAGGTTTTGATAAACCACTATGAATAGTATTCACAAACCCTAGTTTTCGGGTATTCTCAAAATCAACAGATCTATTTATATCTATAGAAGCTTCCGCTCCATCACAAATCGAAGTCAACAATCGGAAAATGTTCATTACCATTTCAGTTATGGTTAGCTTAGAATATATAGTTCTTCCATAAATCTCCGGATGGAAATAATTTTAGATATTACCCATAAATCTCGTGGTTATATAAAAACTAAGACTCTGATAAATGGTAAAAGCAGATGTATCAATATTTTAGAGCGGCATGCTATTTTCTAGTTTATTGTTGTTACGTAAATATTTTACAGCCACATTTATTATACATACTGTTAAAATCGTTAAAATACCAGACTACCAGTAAACAGATTTTTTTTTTCCTTAGAAAACTATTATGAAACTTTTAGTTTTACTCTATCGTTAACCATCGTTGTTTTTTTAAGCAACTACGAAAAACTTGTTTTTACTATGCCATTGAAAAACTAATTCCACCAGTGAGATCCAAAATTGTATGACTTAATCTAGAGAAGAATCACTTGATATAGCCTAGATTTGAGGAATAATCAATTTATTTAAACAATTGCCTACAAAGTCAATTTCTTTTAAATAAATTTAAATTACAATTGCAGAAATGTTTAGCTGCCTTAAAATACCCTTCATTCGCAAGAACACAGATCTTCCCTTAAGCCCCACTCTTCCTTTCCTTGCTTCTTCTCTGCTCCAAAGCCAAACCCTCTTTGGCTAGTTTTTACTTAAAAAAAAAAATGGTCATTAAGATCCCTAATACTTTCATTAAAGCCACCTCACTTCTCTCCTTAATCCTATACTTTCTAATAACAGCAACATCTAATCCTAATTCGGTTTTAGCTGATGAAGTCATTGACGAAGAAGACCCGGAATTTTACATTCTTGACGAAAATCCCTCGATACTCTCAAATGTGACAGTTTCATCCAGAACTAGACTGCTAGTTTCCCACTACAAGAAGATCAAGAAAGGAATGAGATGTCACGTCGCGAGTTACAACATTTGCAATGGCGTAAAAGCAAACAACGGGACGAGTCTCTTGCATTGCTGCAAGAAGCATTGTAGGAATATTCTTGGAGACATGAATAATTGCGGTCGATGCGGTCACAAATGCGGTTTTGGACAGCGTTGTTGCGGTGGCGTTTGCACTTACGTTGGTTTTAACCCTAACCATTGTGGGAAATGCACGAGGAAGTGTAAGTCCGGGGTTAAATGTGAGTATGGATATTGTGGGTATGCTTAAGTACAAAACAGTGAAAAGTGAGGGGGTTATATATCGTATTTTTGAGTGGTTATTTTATATTTATTTTTGGTTTGTTTGTTGAAGAAACCGTTATAGCATACGTAAGGATTTCACGTATACAAAATCTTCATGCATACGCATGTAATGATTTTTGTGGGTGAGTATACTGTAAACACAAACATAATTATTCCATAAATAAATAAAATGTTATACATGTTACAAAACAAACAAAATTTCATTATAATTTTTTAAAACAGGAAAAAATCAAGATTAGTTTATTGCATCTTGCCATGATTCTACAGAATGACAGCAAACGAAGAAATTAAACAAGAACAAATAAACAAAAAAAGTATGTATAAGAAGAAGAAGGGCCCTAAGAAGAAAAAGAGAAATGAAAAATGGAAGATCCCTGAGAGCTTCTTTCTATAAGAATCTGATGATTTGAACAGAAAATTTTCCTTTCTTCGTTTCATTGATCTCTCCAATCTGTGATTAAGAGACACAACCAAACCTGAAAACAGTATCTTTGTAATTATCACTAACCTAAAACCTCACTTCCAAAACAAACTCACCTTGAGTCTCCCTTTCCCACTAACAGAGACAACATCACCGGTCTTTACCGTGGTTCCGTTCTTGGTAACGGTTGCCCAGTTAACCCGAACATCCCCACTACTGCGAACAAAGAAGAAAGCACAACGAATGTTTTTCTTTAAAAGCAAATACGAGAATGCAATGAAAGATCGAAAAGAAAAGAGGAATGCTAGCTAAGTTACCTAATCAAATCAACTAGTTTTGACCGGGAAATCTTGAAACCAGCACTAGCTACTGCATCAATCCTCAACGAGGCTTCCACGGTTTTGAAGGAATTAGTCCTAACAAACAAAACAATCAAAGCTAAATGCAGAAAATTTTAACAGAGCAAGAGGAAGCTAAGTGTTCCTGTGGAGGAATTAGTGTTCATACCTAGGAGGTTCGTATTCAAGAGCAAGCAAAGGTATCTTAGTACACGTTACAGAGACATTCCCAACCTATTAAATTCACATCATAGTGAGGTCAGAGTACTGCAGTAGCATTTAACATGTTGGTTAATGCGTTATATACAAGTTAACCAGAACAATTTTAACCTTGTCGAGAGCTGAAACAATAAAGTCGACTAGTTCAGGAACTATCAAGACCTGAGCTCCTTTTTCTTCCTTCAGGACCATGGCGGAAATATAGCCAAAAGAAACAGTATTAGAAGAAAAGATTTTGTTATAAATGGAGCTGAAGAGTGTTGTTATACATCAAATGATACCTGAACTAAGATATCCCCAAGTTTATCCCTGGAAACTCCAGTGCCAAGAATCGCACCAAGGAAGTCACCATGTGAACAAGGTTGAAAGCCGAAGTTCCCTGTGATACTAGAAATTGAAAACCAATCAGTAACATACTCAGGCTCAGACAAAGAACACAACTTCAAGAATCCATGGATTTGTACCTCAAAGCTGCAACTATATCTGGATCATTGGTTAAGACATCAGGATGTCCAACCGAGATCCTACACCTTTCAGCCTAAGAAGAAGATATTTTACACAACAAATTCAGCTTAAAGTTTACATTTTCAGAGGATATTTTATCTTTTAAAAGGATGAAAACAGACCTCAGGGTAACCTCCCTGGGCAACTATTGTAACATCAGCAACTTTTGCCAATACTGAAACTGATTCCTTAACAATCGGTGGTGTGAGAAAATCAGTGTGAAGAACTTCTCTTCTTGATGCTGCACGTCTCGCCTATAAATAACCCCATTGAGAGAATCAGGTTGAAGATTCTCCTCCTTCGTTAGGAATGGAGAAAACACAGAGAATTAAAGGTAGAGATAAAGCGGCAAATACCATCTCAAGGATTTGCTTAACTTCTTTAGCAACAGCTTGGTCTCCAACTCCTTTGAGGAGAAAATCTACATCTCCTTTTATGGCTTCTACAACGTGACATCTTCTCAAAGCTGCAATTTTTATTTTTCTTTTGTGGGTTACATCAAAGAAACAATTTTTGTATGAATCTAATTAACTAGAAACTTCAAGCTCATACGGTTAGTTTGGTTATAATCATCGCTCTCAAAGATTAAGAAAGTTCAGCTCGGAGCATGCCCTAAACCTCTAAATTCCCAAAGAGTAGTTGCAAAATGTCACCAGAAGAATCAAATTGATGGTAAATCCAAAAATCAACTCAAATTTCAGACGAAGCGAAACAAATTGTTGGAAATGAACCTGAATGCCGGAGAGGAGACGAAAGAGGAATAGTGCGATTTGTGATTAGGGTTTTGTGAGTTGTGTGAAGATAAGTAGAAGCTGCGACTGTTCGGAAAGCTTGTCTCAGGACAACCCATGGAGGAGCCAAACTGGTGACAGCCATAGCTTTGTGTCTCTGACTGAAACCTCGGTTAAGGAGAAGCCTCTAAGTCCATTAGAAGGTTTTCTCGACATCTAATGAGTTTATACTCTATTACAAAAGATCAAATTTTTTGTTTGTCTATGTTTTTTCAGCCACATTTTAAGACAAGAGACTTTGGTTGTAATAAAATGGTGTCAATTCACAAGTTTTGTTGATGTAAAAGATTCATGAGGTCTCCTTCCAATTTCCATGTACACAATCTGAAGCTACGCAACACTAAGAGAGTGCTTCTTGGTTCCTAAAGTGGACAAACAGATCAAAACATATAAACTATAAAGGGTCTGTGTTTGGAATCATAAATTTCAAGCTGGTCAAGCATTTGCATCCATAGAGAGATGTTCAAGGTCCCAGAAGTTGATCCGGTCAAACTTCTTAACCCTATCCCCCGTGCAAGGGCTTTTGCAGAGTGAGAGGGTCATGATCTTTGACCGCATCAGCTTTGGGATGACAAACATATCTCTCTATGGAAGCAAATGTCTCAAGTATTCTGAAATTTATGACACCAAACACGACGTTATTGCCAATCCCATTTGCTTCTAGGCTAACTTTAACCTCTTTTTGCTCATTACTTTAACACTTCTTCCTCTCATCGAACGTAAATGAACACAATGAGGAGAGCGAGCGGGAGTGCAAGCACAGCGGAAGAAATAGTCCAAACCCATAACCTGTAAGCTTTTCTACGTTTTAAGATGGCTTTGGGGACAGACTCATTTCCTTTTTTGTGATGTCTGTACCTAAAACTTCTCTGTTTCACTGATCTCCCATTTAGTGATTTCTCCTTCCCGGTCTTTTCCGGCTCTGATGCCTCAGTGACTGTCTCTGGTGTCCTCTCTAGATCTGATGGACAAGAAGAGTTAGAAGCAGCCTTCTTCTTCTTTGCCTTCTTCTCAAGCTCCTTAAGTTTCTTCTCAGCTTCCTTCTTAACTCTAATGGCAGCTTTAGCAGCAGCTTTCTCATGTAGCTTCCTCTTCCTTTCCATCGCTAGCCTAGCTTTCTCTAACTGCTCTTTCCGTTTCAACTCCTTCAACGTTTCTTCATCAATCTCTTCTTCCTCTTTCCCAAGCTTCTCATACACCATAGCATCATCACTCTCCTCCTCAGTACTAAACCTCTTGAGTTCTATTGCCTTTTCCCTCGCTGTTTCATTTCCATTCCCAGTATCTACATCGCCTTCCGGGTCCCTAATCCGCTCATCAGATGAAGGCAAGATTCTTTTCTTGTAATCATCCCTAAAAGCCTTGTCATTGTTCCAACGAGACATAAATTTATCAACCTATCAAAAGGATTAGAACACAAAGGAAAAATAAGAACAAATGCTCAAGATCTCAGACACACACACACAAACACACACCCAATAGACTGACAAAACCAACCTCAGAATTAGCTAGCTCTTCAAGATCTCTAACATTTCCTGAAGCAGCTAATTCAATGGCTTTGTTCATGACAACACGACTCTGAAAAAAGGCGGCATTCTACAAAACAAAACACACCAGATTAGGGATCTTTGAGATCCAAATTGATAGAGAGAAAAAGAAAAAAGACTTGATACATAAGGCACAAAACCCACCCCTTTGTCTCGATGTATCCTCAACAACTTAATCCTTTCGAAAGCTTTGTCTCTTTGATCAAGTACACAAGCCATTTGAGCATCTAACAACTCCATCTCCATATTAATCTCACTTAATCTTTCACTCAAGCTGTAATTATTCCCTGTAACCTCTTCTTGTTCCTTTTTTACTTCGTTTATTTCAATGTCCATGGACTGATTAGGAAACATTGCATTATACACATTAAGTGATGAGATCGAATTCTCCATCGAAGCAACCAGAGACAATCTCTCAGCCTACACAAAAATC